GTGCAGACACAGTATTGATCCAAATAGTGCAGACTGTGTGTGTGTGTGTGTGTGTGTGTGTATGTGTGTCTGTGTGTGTGTGTGTGTGTGTGTGTGTGTTTTGGAATTTGTGGCCAACATTTAAAATTTGAGCCAGGGACTCTCCTGGGAAAGCACCTACAATGACAGACATCAGAATCCCCATACAAGCCACAGATACCTGCACATCCTCACGTCATGCCTTTTCTCCACTGCTGTGTTCTATATTCATGAAAGACTCATTTTGTTTAATTTTTAGATTACTTTATCTAGAATTGTAGCCAATCTAATAAAACTACTTAAATACAACCGTATGGCTAACTGTTCAGCTTTATTTTATTCTTCCACTTCGTTACTTATATCCTGTTGACCACACCCTTCACAAAGATCACTTTATACATCCTTATGACACTTTCTAAATTTGAAATTTCACTCGACCCAGCTAAGATGCAACACTTTAAATGGGTGGAATTCTTACTACATTGAAAACGCTAAGTATTTAACTTTTCATTGAGTTAATCATTTTCTTATTTTCTTTTGTGCAAAGCCATCACTGCACCTTACCAATGCTGAACCTGGAGCTGAAAGTAACATTTCTTTACAATTCTTTCCATCGAAATAAAACCATCCATTACCTATGCATGCAGGGCATAAACGAAGTATAGGATGTCCAAATGAAATGTACAGAAACATAAAAAAATGAAAATTCACTTCCTTTTTTCTTTTTCTGTAGCTAGTGCTTCCATCTAGGGAACCCAAGAAGCTAAGACACTACGTGATCCTTAGTATTAAAGCTAATAAAGTGGGCATCAATTTTGAGAAATGTCTGTATGCAAAAGAATTTAAGATCATACATTTCTGTATGTTATTCCCTTTGTAAATTAAGGTATCCATTATATGTGATCTGAATTTACCAGAGTGTATTTAATGTGGTACCATGTAATGCCAAGATTGAGTTCCCCAGAGGAATTTTAATTCATTATAGGTTGTTGTTGGACAAAAGCTGTATAAAGTGTCAGATAAATATTAAGCATGCCAGCTTCCTTCTCATACATGTTTAAGCATTTCTCTTCCCTTTGCTTAAAATTCAGAACAAATTCCTCCATAAGTGCAATTTCATGCATTGTGATATCAACCAGTGTAGCTCCACAAGGACCAGCTCAGGTGGGCATGTACACTAACTTGTCAGGCAAAGCCTCCCAATGGATCATTTACCTCCATTTACCAAAAGCACAGTTCTGGGCACTAGTGTCAGCTGAGTAAGTTAGTCCACTAGCCCTAACTGGCACCAGTCCTTTTTTCTTTTCATAAAGTGTTTACCCAGAATTTCCAAAATGGAGCTGTTTTCCATCTGAAACTTTGATTTTGTAAATGTAAAGTTGTGACAACTCCCTTAATCTGGATTTTTGCCACATATACTGAATGGCAAAGAAAGAAAAAGCTCTGATTTGGGAGAGAATTGCTCCCTAATACTTGAAGTTCCATAAGAAGCTTCCTTAATTTTAGGCCGCAGTTAATCCTACAAGATAATCTTATGACTAGAATAAGGGTAAAGTTTATTTGGTGCTATTATTACAATGCTATTTGTGAGAAGCAGGAAGAACACAAAACATACAAGGGAAGAGATTTCCTGATGAAAGCCTAGACGTTTTACCTTCACTATGCTTCACATTCATGTTTTCATTTTATTGCAGATGGGAAAGTTTTCTAGTCTCCACCCTTTATATATTTCTGAGGTTTCCAAACCACACCTGTCTCAAGGCTGTAAGTTATTAGAATTTGACTTATTGAAATTTGACTTTCGCCCCCACTCCAATCATTGCATCTTCTCTGAGATAGAGAGTCCTATTTTTCCCAGTAGTATTGATCCAATAAAACTTTCCCAAGGCAGTTTTGACTTTTTGTTGTTGTTGTTGTTGTTGTTGTTCAGCTGGAGGAAAAGATCTTTTACAATTTTTGCATGTACTCAGGCCAATTTGAAAACACATTGTGTATGAAAATGTAAGTATTTAAATAATCAGGCTTCATATACATATGTAAAATATGTATGCAAATTAATATCTGCATTTGCTGACTTCACTTAGGACCAAATCAAGAGACTGGATAGACTGGTTATAACCTATAACACATGTAAATCACATCAAAATTTTTCTGATAAAATAATTTGTCAAACATTAGTCTTATGATTTCACTTTGATTATGCTCGAAATCCTACCCCCAGCCCCACAAATGGTCACACTCATTTTATCACTCTCAGTGTCATCAAAATGCAGCTGTTCTCTCCAAAATGGGAAATGTTGAAGTTACAACCAAAAAAGCTTACTGAAGTGACTACAAAGACACTGATTGCTTTTTTCTCAGAAAGCAGATTACTTTGCAGTGAGTTTTTCTCCACTATCTTTCTTCTCAAAATGGGTAAAATGCGCACAGATCCTGTTAATGTGGTAACATGGTAAACCCGATATCGACCCCCAACTTCCAGGTTGCCATGGTGCCATTTGCCCACGGTCTAAAGAGATTGTACATTTCCATTAATGTTAGAGACTCATGCAAAATGCCAGTGGCTGAGGTACTTTTTGGAGCCTTGGGCCAAATGGTTCCAGACGCTTACAAGGCAGTATTTGCAAAATAGATGTAGTCCGTTTAATAAATTGCTGACTGGAGCTACAATAGAAACCATCTAATTGAATTGCGAGTCTATGATTTATTTATTTTTTAAACAATAGCTAACCTTCTCGTCTCTAGGATTTTTACACTATCTTTTCTTCTAAACTTTACAGATACTTCAAGTCTCTGGGCTTCTCTATAGTCCCTTGTGAAGTTGTAATATTTTTCTCAGGTCTGTTTTCACTAATTTTCTCAACTGTCAATGTCCTTCACACAGTCCCCTTCTTTGCCGAGTTGGCTAACATATATTGCACTTTCTACAGAAAAACACAATAACGTCTGCATTTGTGGCTCACGTTTTTCTCTTTCATTTGTGTAATTAGCACTTGAAAATACGTAAAATAAATTGGAACAGTGTCTAAAATGTGAAAAATTAAGAAGGGAGTTAATTTTCACTCCTTCTTTACATTTATTATTCCATGCTACTTGGTTATAAATACATGAATGTTAAAATGACCAAAACTGCATCATGTAACCTTTTCATTTGAATTTCATTTTTCCCCCTATATTTAGGGGGAGAAATCCAGTTCTATGGTACCAAAACAACTTTAGGATTTCCTAATGAGAATGAACAATATTATTTCATATAATAGTTCTTTTGGATACGGAATATCTACCTTTCTTTTATTTAAAATATTGCTGGGTAGTTGGAAAAATTAGAATAAAATTTTGTGGGCACCCCAACAACGTAAGTGCATGTCCCAAGTAAAACAAGTCTACCTAAAGTTCTATAGAAAATATTTATTGTGATGAGAGTAATGAAATCTTCCTGCTATTGAGTGGCATTAAAATATGTTTCTCAAAGAGGTTTATGTCTAATCAGTCAGAAAGAAGCAGTTTCAGCTTTGGTGTATGCCTGGTAGTTTGAGATTTTGAAAGGTAGTGTGTCTTTTTTTTTTTTCTGAGAATGCAAAATCAGGCTTTCACTGCTGACACAAATGTGCTAAGAGACTGTTGTAAAATATTTATGGTATGGAATAGTGGGTAAATAGCTAGCATGCACAACTTGAATGCCAATTAATACCCTGGAAAATATTTTCAATGCTTTTAATAATTCAACATGGCTTATTTTACTAATGAAAATCTAGTTTAACCATTTCCATGGTAATGCAACTAAGTGGGTAAGGGAGTAAAAATAGCCCGAGGCTCACGAAAACCCTGGATGCCTTCGCTGTGGCTTTATTTCTGCTCCACCTAATAAGGCATGCAAACTTCAGCATTAAGTATCTCTAACTAAAATCCATTCCATTTCATAACCAGATTGCTTGATCTATGCAGTGCTGGATTCAATTAGCATGCTTAGAGAATGTGAAAAACGAGATACATACCAAAATTTAAGTCCCCAGGGAGAGCTAAGTGCAATAATCAGAAGGTGACTTGTGTCTGTCAGAGCCCTCTCTCACGGCTGATCTCAGGGCAGTTCTGTAGGAGTAATCCAGCACCATAAGAAATAGACTTGTAGTTCAGCTCAGTTTTTCTTCAATTAAAGTGCATTGTATCTGGATGGGAAAAGTGTCGACTCCCAGATTCTTCATCACTAGATCAGAGCATTCCCGATGTCCTTCCTATCAGGTAAAATTGTCTTTAAAGTTTGGTAGGAAGATGCACTGGCAGAAGACAGGTGCTTGTTCCTTAAATCGACATTCAGAGAAAACAGGGCATAGCTAATGGGTGGGGATGAGCACACAGCCCCTCTCCTTCCAGGTCCAGCAGGGAAGAAATTGAATGATTTTACCCACTTTGCTACACAGATGATTACAAGACCCGAAGCAATCACCAGACTGGCTAAGGTACCTCATTTGGCTATATTCTGTGAAGACAAAAATAAATGAAAACAGAAAATCAGAATCATCTTTTCTAAATGTCTCCTTTCAGCCAAAAAGATGCTCTTTCTCATTGCCACTTACATACAGAAGGTTTGGAGCAGCCTAGCTTGTGGCATCGTCCCTCCCCCGTGACAACCAGCTCTCTCTCTCATTCTCTCTCTCTCTCCACTCCCTCCCTCCCTCCCTGCCCCTGACTCCCTCCCTTCCAGCTTCTCTCTCTCCTCTCCAGCTGCCTTAGTCTGTTGATGCTGCTGCTGATTAATCAGGGATTCTGAAACAAAGAACCTACCTTCTGAAATAAGCAGTAATCTTTCTTCTCTGTTTCTGCAATCCGTCTGCATTGAACGGCAAGGCTGCCAGCATTCTAGCACCTTGGATAGTTCCTGCTCACTAGGGCCTTTGGAAAAGAGAGAAGACGCAACTGAAGAAATGACAAGAAACCGGAAAGCAGCATCGTTCTACTTTGGATTTCGGCTCCCTGGGGCTCCCATCCTCATTAAAGGCCTCTCATCTAGGCAACAGAACCTCTCTCCTTTATCTAACTGAGCTGAAGTCTGATTAGTAAATAATAAAATGAAAAGAGGGTAAAGAAACCCTTTCATTTATATTCGCTATAGCACTAATTCAGTCTTTATGGAGAAGAAAAATATAAATCCATCAAAAATAAATGTTCTTACTAAAGAGAATGTTTAAGTTACAAGCTTTTCACCCCTGGCGTGGCTAATGAAAATGAGCAGCAACTTAAATGGAACATCTAGATCTCAGTTTGATACCCTTATTTGATATCAATTTTGCCTCCACCCTCCCTGCACAGCCGAGCCGTGCACCATGCACACAATTACTGCTGACGTACTTCAGGCTGCTGCTTGGGGAACGAGGGGAGGAGCCTTTTAACCTCATCAAAACAGCTTCGTGCCACCTGCTCCCATGGCAGGAGAACAAAACTAGCCCACTTAGGAAGAGCATGCACAGTGTACACGTGTGTGGAACAAAGGTCTTACTCAGACTGCTTGTTATTTTTTTTAACTAAAATAAGACATAAAATAATTAAGGCACATATGTCATTAATTCCTATGGACTCACTCTTGAAATTATTTAAAGTCATTTTATTTCTTACATTTCCTAAGGACTCTCCTCATTCTGTTCTTAATATCCTACTAAATATAAACGTATACATCATGTTATACGCCACAACTTATGTATGTGTGTGTCTATAAAGTCCAAAGTTTTTATCTAATCTGCTTTTCCTCAGATTAAAAAGTAAAATGTAGGTGTTTTAATGCGTTAAGTTTGTACTACGGTATAAGTAACAATACACAGTAAGTTTCTACTTCATTTGGGCTAAAATATCAATTTTGGAGGGAAAATGTATTTATTATTTGATAGTGACCTATAGATTTTTTCCCATCACACTCTTTTTAATACTTTTTATCATAAATGATTTTGATTTGCAAGCTGATTTTCCCAAGGGTTATCCTAAACCTGGAGATTCATAACTAATTTCTTAGGAAAGTGTTTTCTGAACGTAAAGTAATTTTTTATGCATCAACAGACTGTAAAAATAAACTTAAGTTCACCTTCCTAATTCTTAAATTCCATCTGGGACTTTGCTATGATTTTCTCAGAGTTTGTTTCCTTAACTTGTAGGAGGTGGGGAATAAAATCAACACATTACATTGCTATAAGGACCTTCAATTTCACATGTTCTAAAGTGCATTCCTAAAGCTTATCACTTATTTCTTGATCTTTGTGCATCTGCCTTTTAATTGTAACAGCATATTTGTTTAGTGTTAAGAACCACTTTGCAAGATTAGATAGAGGAAAAGAAGGATGGGATTGAGACAGAGAAGAGGCCACATCTCTGTCTCTCTTTCATTCTCTCTCTCTCTCTTCCCAGACACCAATCCTCCCCTTCTCCTTCCCTCTTCCCCCCCTTCCTTTTCTTTCTTTTTCTGTCTGTCTTATGACAGACTTAGCACATTGCAGAAAAGTGCCTCAAGTATCACTCACAAACGAGCATCAGCCACCACACTGCGATTAAGAGGTTTACTTATGTATCACTATTTTGGGTAGAGAAGAGTTCTCATAGAAGTTGTCTTTCAGCATGTGACTAAAGGTGTAAAAGATTCTTTATAGAAAAATTATATGACAAATATTTTAGGAAATGGAAATACTTCATCATGATTGACGATTTTGCCAGTTGGAGTGGTTATATTCTGAACTAGAGAGCTTGAATAAGCTCTACAGTGAAGCCCATTTCTGCATATGAGAGAAATAATACCCAGATGAGTAAACTGATTGTTTCCAGCCTCACACTCATTGGCTTATTAGGATTAAGACTCAAGGTCACTGTGCTGACTGCAGGTTTCCTCATCTTTGGCCAACATACCAGTTGTCAGTCCCCTTGATTTTATGCACCAGAATAATTCAAATAATGTGAGGAGAGGCTGACATATAGTTGCTGAGTGTAAAAAATAAAAAAAAAAATCTTCCATCTTTTAAACAACAAAAAAATGAAAAAATAAAAGGGATTTTTATCTTAAAAGAATGGGGAGAGCATATTTATATTAATGAGTGGTCCTTTAAATTTAATATTTTCAACTAGGAAAATATATAGTATTGCTCTTCCTTCCTGCTTTCCTGTCTTCCTCCATTTCTTCTTTCCTTTATTTTCTTTTTCTTTTTTATTCCCCTCCTATCACAAGGGCATGGGCTTGGGAACCACCACATTCTACCAACCCCATATTCTCAGTCCCACACTTTCCTTTTCTAGATGTCAGTGTCTGATGATTGGGCAATTTCTTCTCTGGAAACATATTAGTGTTTAAGAGTTTATGGCACCTTTGGGGATTGGTGCTAAGAAGGGCTCCAGAACTATTTATTTAGGTCTTACTAAATAGAACAGAAAAGGATCTTCACTCATTTTAAAAATCTTAGAACCAAATGCAGAACTCACTTCTACTCATTTTAATGCTATCCAGAGAAAAATGCATTGAACAACATTAAAGTTGAACATCCTCATGTTAAGAATAAAAGTATAGAGAGATCATAGAAGCTCAAATTATAGTTATGTGTTGGTTTATTTATCTTTATCAAATACATAGACATTTTTGATGTTACTAGGAAAGCAGTCATTAAGATGCCTCATGACTTGGTATTTCCTTTAAAAGTTATTAAGTCAGGGTAGGGTTTGGCTCTTTCTGTTATACCATACTGACTGACAAAGTTTGATGCTTTTGGGGTTGAATAGGTCCCTTCAGAGAACTCAGGATAGACAAAGAGAGTCACAGCCCTGAAAATGCTTCTTATTCTATACATCAGCCAGATGGTGGGGAGTGCTTTCTGTATAAAAGTGATGTAAATGAGAAAAGTGAGAATTGAAATAGAGCAATCTAGTTACCTAAATTTTAAAGGGTTTATTCAAATCCATGAAGATGTACTCTCTGAAGTCATGCCATAATTTATAACAAAGCCTTTCTAGTTTTTTCCGTGATCTATAATCTTTCTATTATTCTTTCCGCATTTAGCTTAGGGAGGTGACCCCTCTGTTACAATGAAATTATTCCACTAGGGAAAATGCTAATCTCCTTCCCATCCAATCAGGATTTCTAAGCATTCTGGTAACAGTATGAAATGAAAGTCTTGGTAGAATGAGAACCATATGTTACTCATGATTTTCGCCCGTAACAACATGGATGTCAATGGAAGTCACACATATATGACTTAGGGGTCGTGGAGCAGCAGATGGCAATGTGGGTGCTCCAAAATCCGGAATAGTCAGTAACTAAAAACAAAAAAAAAAAAGTAAAAGATTTATGTTCTAATAATACACACAAAAACTACATGTATAGTGTCAAAGGAGCAATCTGGCAATAAATGGAATATTCCCATGGCAAGAAACTTATGAATAGATCTAGACATCCCTCCTTTGTTTTGTCCAGCACATATTTTCTAGTGAAGATTTCAGAAATATCATAAATGTATTTATCTCTACACTAAAAACTATAAAAATATTGCTAAAAAAGTATCTACATGATCTAAAGAAGCAAACACCACCACTTCAACAAACCATCTCTCTTCTTTGAATGGATAATACCTACTCAAGTTTCAAAGATCAGATCTATTTTACCCTGGCAGCTTGTCCTACCACAATAAAACTGGATTGCTTGTTCTCAGTGTTATGAAATGCCCAATAAATGATTTTAAAAAGTCATGAGATTTTTTTTTCTACTCTGCTAAACATGCCTATTTCATTCTTCACATGTGCTTGTCTGAGACTCCTAAAGGAATGGAAATCTTCCTTTCTATTCCCCTGGCCCCTGCATATTGATTTGTGTCTAGCCAGCAGTAGGGATTTGTTGAATGAATGCACGACTCCAGATATCAACTTAAGGCAAAAAAGTTACCCATATAATCAACATGAAATTATCTTTTTTAAAATGAAAGTATAAATGAAAATTTAAACATAGAAATAACCAAACTAAAACCCAAATATCTTTCTAAATGGACTCCATAGTTTTTCTATCTGAAGAATCCAAAATAACCAATTTGAAATGGATCAGAAATGAGATAATTTCATAGGAAGACCAAATGAATACACAAATGTGAGGATCATATTTAGAGAAAACAGTAAAATTCTTCCGAGATACTAAAAATTTAGGCAGCTCAGGCTTCTATAACAAAATACAATATACTGGGTGCCTTAAACCACAGAAATTTATTTTTCACAGCTCTGGAGTTTGGGAAGTCCAAGTTCAAGGTGCCAGCAGATTTGGTTCCTGATAATGGCCCTTTTTCTGGCTTGCAAAGAGTGCCTTTCGGCTATGTCCTCACAATGAGGGGTGAGGAGAGAGAAAGAGAGAAAGACAGAGATCTGGTCTCTTTTCCTCTTTTTATAAATACATTAATCCCATCATGGGGGCCCCATTCTCTTGACCTCATCTAAACTTGATTTTCTCCCAAAGGCTTTACCTCCAAATACCATCACATTGGGGATTAAGGCTTCAACATATGAATTTTAGAGGAACACAAATATTCACTCCATAACAGAGACATAAAAAGATATAGGGAAGTAGAG